TACCTACTACCTACTACCTACTACCTACTACCTACTACCTACTACCTACTACCTACTACCTACAACAACAATTACAACAACAACAGCAGCAACAACAACAACAACTACTACTACTACTACTACCCCTCCTCTACTAGTCGTAGGAATATTGCTGGCTTAGTTGCATTCATAATGGTGCAGGGTTTTCTGGGATTCCCTGTGATTCTCTGTTTGTAAGGCTATGCACCGTTTGCTAGGCCAAGTTGCTGCCACAGACACGTAGACAGATCATTGACATCCCGGTTTGCTGAAAAACACCCGCTTTGCTGAAAACTCTTGTGTTTGCCGTGTTTGGTGTTTTGGTTGTTGGAAACACATCCGTTTTGACCAATCGCTTCAGTCTTCGAAACCATTTTCGATCAAATGCACAGTCAATGACCTCACCGTCGCAAGATCGCCTGATCTCGGTGTCTCTGTGCGTCACAAAGTCACCGCGACCGGTGCCCGGTCGGCGAGCCCGTCGGACCCCCGCGGCCACGGAAACATCGAGAAAGGTGCCAATCACACCAAAAGAACTTCATCCAATTCCGAAGCACTGTTAGCCGGAAACAGGCACTATGAACGTTTGTGGACAGACCGGCAAGGGAGATAGGCGGACACACCCAGCTTGAGGCACAAACCTCCGCTCCAGTGGAGAGATACTTTTATGTGAAGCATTGGCAGTCCTAACTGGGCCCTAACAGTATGTACTTGTCCAGTTGTGTACAGTATCAAACAATCTTTAGCATACGCCACGAATGCCTGTGAACAGAATGAGCATCGCTGTCGTCATGATCTGAGGTGCTTCCGCCAAAGTTTTGCTGAGTGGCTTCAAGGTTGAAGCCATTTTGGAAGCACAGGAAGGTCCCAAGGACGCGGCTTTGGATGCAAGAGCATGTTTGAAGGTCCCACGTCTCGTTGGACCACCAAGCAGGCTGTTGGAGTCAACTGCCAGGAGGTGAAGCGCACCAAAAGCGAAGTCATGGAAGCGTCAACGGCGATCAGCATTCGGTCTTTGGTGAAGGTTCCCGTCGACTGGGCCGACCGAGTGACCGAGTGTGACCAAATGAATCCGCACAGATGAGAAGAGGTAACAGCTCAAATGATAAAGCAATAGTTTGGGTCTGGTAACAGCTCTGATTTTGTGACGTTTGCAGCATGTTCTGTTTGCAGTTTTGGCGACAGGGCAAGAAGGCCAGGAATGAAGAGGTGAGTGCTTCAGCCAAGGCCGAATTGCGAAAACATTCCAGGCCAGGGCCTCCTCCACTTCGCTTCTCGCGGCCAAAGGCTTCCTGTCCGCCTCCGCGTCTCCGCATCGTGTCAGGTCGAGGCGGTGAGCCGATGAGGTGAGAGAGGGGGACAATCGGAGTTGGTGATCCGAGGAGTTGGTGATCCTTTTTGTTCTTCCGCTTCGAAGAGAATCACACGCGTGGTATGCCGAAAGAAACGGCGCGTGGTAGTTCGGATTCCCTTCCGTCGTAGCTGACGTGCGAGAATAAACAAGGAGGCGCTTGCTTTAACAACTTGCTTGTTGCAATTGTTTCCATCACAACAAGGATGTAACACCTGAGGTTGTGTTGTTTTGAACACTTTCTGATCCCTTTGTTGTGCTGAGTTTTGGTTCGAAGGATTCTCTGATGCGCTGCCCTTGTGGGACATCCCATGACGGACATTCTGCGCTTGGCGAGCTTGGTTGTTGCTTGTTTTGCTGCAGAGCATGACAGCTCTTGTGAGATTCAGTTGCATCGTTGGTCAGACATCTCAGGTGAGATTGGTCCTCAAGACCACATTGACAATGCCACGTTTCATGCCATGCAGCGAATGTGGAAAATGCCCGGTCACCGATTCAATCAATGTCCGTCCGGGAGAGGGCCTCCCCTGAAGTTGATGCAAGGCAATGTTTTATCAGTGTTGCCAGACAAAAAGACTTGTGGAAGGGGAGAAGTTCCCATCGGCCAATTCAATGGCGACGCCTATAACTTCACATGTTGCTCAGGTGCACAATGTGGAGGTTGTCGGGAGGTGAAGGACGGTGTTTGCCAGGAATGTGCGGCAGGATACGTGAAACAAGTGATGCCTGTTACCGGAGAGTCGATGCCAAGATGCTTCATTTGCGATGATGTACCCAAATGGACAGACTCCTTGGGCCGTTCTTGTTCAGATTATGAAAAGCAAGGTCTTTGCAGCGGTGAATGGCCAAAGAAAACACTTGATGTCGCGTTTCATGGACTTCGCCCAAGTGATGCATGCTGCGTTTGTGGCGGGGGAAGTGTGGAAGCTTCCCCATCAAAGATGCCACTCTCAGGAAAAGCATTGTTTCTGGGCCAACATATTTACTCTGAGCCATTTCCGATTCCTGAAGCCATCCAGCTTGATGCCGGCTGTGATCTAATGTCAGTAGGCCTTGATCTAGCCACCAACGGAACGGTCTTTGGAAGAGTAACTGCACAGGAGCAGACAGAGATCTCGTGCTCAATGTCTTTGGCGCAAGATCCTGTACGCGGCATTCTTGACCACTTTGATCTGGCTTTCTCCGTGAACAACTTCAGCTATGGAGACAATGTGGTCGCTTTCAAGTATTGGGGGTTGGACTCCAATCCTTCAAGGCCGCAGAAGTCAGTTAACACTTCCGAGCCCCTGAGCAACTTCAACTTGGTGTGTGAGCCACTCTGTACTTGGTTGTCCATGGATGAAAGCGGCACTTTGCATGCCGGAAGACTGGGCTCCAAGACTTCCGGTCTCCCTCCTTCCATGAAGGGCAGCCTAACTCAATTTCAAAACATGCCTTCTTGCAGCTGCCAGGTCACAGCTCTCCCCCACCTGCATGTGGACCCTCCCAAGGCCCTCACGACCCGCTTCTTGGCCGTACAGATGCGGCTTTGGGCTGGAGCCTACTACAAGGAATCCATTGATGCTCAGGTCCATGTAGCCATTTCGGATGTGCTCCTTCAAGAACAGTTGGGACTGGGTCTTAGCTTAAACAAGGCTTCTCATCTCACCAAGAGCTTCAGAGCTTCTCACAAAGAATGGATAGCGCAGTATTGAGCACATGCACATGCTTTGCGTGAGAACAGCTAAGAGACTGAAAGACAGTGTCTTTTTTCCCCAGATAGCAAAGCTATGGGGTTCTTACTTCAAATAACAATGAGTTGCCCGTGCACGCTTTCGAGACAGGTTGCTGGTGCTGGTGCTGTGTGGAGACAGGTTGCTGGTGCTGGTGCTGGGTGCCGGGTTCCGGTGTTGGTTGCTGGTGCCGGGTGCCGGTGCTGGTGCTGGGTGCCGGTGCTGGTGCTGGTGCTGTGAGCTGGCTGTGCGCGTGGTGAAGACAGGTTGCTGGTGCTGGTGCCCGGTGCGGATGCTGGTGCTGTGAGCTGGCTGTGCACGTGGAGACAGGTTGCTGGTGCTGCTGCCCGTGCTGGTGCTGGGTGCTGGTGCCTTGGGCTGGCTGCGCACGTGGTGGAGACAGGTTGCTAGTGCCGGTGCTGGTTCTGGGTGCCGGGTGCCGGTGCTGGAGCTGGCTGTGCACGTGGTGGAGGAGACAGGTTGCTGTTGCTGGTGCTGTGAGCTGGCTGTGCCGGGTGGCGGTGCCGGTGCTGCACGTGGTGGAGAGAGGTTGCTGGTGCTGGTGCCGGGTGCCCGTGCTGGCAGGTTGCTGGTGCCGGTGCTGGTGCTGGGTGCCGTTGTGGAGGTGCCGTAAGCTGGCTGCGCAGGCTGCGTGCATCTTGTTCCAGCCAGTCGCATGTCAACAGGTCGTGGGATTCTGCCTGGCCTAGCTATCTGGGTCTATGCTGGTGTAATCTTGTTTTTCTTCTTGTCAATTTTCAAGGTCGTTCTATCTATTTTCCATTGTCCTAAGGGCCCGGCCTCCAGCAGTACAGGGATCACGCAACACACCTTCCCGTGGTCTCTGCGAACGGCAGCCGCTTTGTATTCTCTCCAGCAGTACCACCACAGATTTTGGATGTGCGATGCACTGCCCCAAGTTCCACAACCCCCACCAAATCCCTGACCTTTCGCTGGTCCCGCATCACTGGAGAAGTGTCCTTGGATGGCAAAGCAGCTTTCACGTTGCATCCTTCGACCGGAACGATCAGTGGAACTCCAGAACTGGATTTGTCCAGTGATACGCTTGGGCGCGGCAGTCTCGATGTCACTTGCAAAGTTGCTCTTGGAGGCGCGGGTAGCGCCGCGGTGGCTGCGGTTTGGACCGTTGATATATATATATATATACGTTGGTTACCCTTCCTTGCATCGACGACATGGGATGGGGGGTAAGCCAATTAATCTAGGGATGCCCGTCAGTTGCTGCACTAGTTTTAGGGATTAAGTTTTCTAGAAATTACGCAGTGAGGTATGTATGTAGGGTGGTACTGTGGAGGTGACCATTGGATTAAAGATACATATTTTTGGTACATTTTCATCAATGGCTGTTGTGTTTGAGAGATCTTGAGTGTCCAGCTGACCAAACCGCGTTGATTTTGAGAGATCTTGGGGGTCCAGCTTCGTGATTCTGAGGAAATTGAACAAAGATGCCATAGAAAAAAATTGATGGCAAGGAGGAATCTGTGTTCGTGACAATAGCAACTGGACTCGGGCGCAAATGACAATAGCAAATGATAGATGGAAAATGTTCAAAGCCAGAGGCTCACACCTTCCTTTTGCAATGGGCCATCTCACACTGGGGCTGCACCCCTGCTGTGTGTGCGACGTCAGTTTGTTATAGGAATCTGTGTCCGCTGGCTCCAGAACCAAAGGGCAGCAGAATGAGAAAAACCAGTCATTGTTGTGGTTGCTTTACAAGGGAAAGAAGACTGTAAGTGTTGTAGTCCAGGTGTCTGGTGGGCTTACTTTTGGAAATTCATCTGAGGTCTCGGACACCTCCATCACCTCAGACGTTTTGAAATCCAATATGGCTCAGGATTTTTTCCCAATATAGCGAGAGCTATTGGGGTCCCTACTTCAAGTTTAGGACCAGGTGCCTGTGTGCGCTTTGGAGCCTGGGTGCTGCCCAGTGCCTGGTTCGGTTTTGCTATCGCTGGCAGAATTTTTATTCATCTGAGGGGTCTGGACGGGGGATATGTATGGGACCGGCCGTGACATGGGACTTCTGCCCAAAAACCGCTGGCTAAGCTCACAACCTCCCCATCTTCGGCAAGCACCTAAAACATAGGACAGGTGAATCGTGGCTCGTTTTTTTTCTTTTTGCACACTGCCTAAGCTTGCTGCATCTTGCTGCGGCCAAGCTGGATGTAGCACTGTGGGACCGATGCCGGTTGGAGAGCAGGTTGATGTTGTATCAAGAATCAGGATGTACTATATGAGGGCATGATCATGATAACCCCCAAAGAAGAATATATCGGAGCATCTCAGGCTCTAGCCATTGAGGAATGCGGTTGGTTGTGCTTGGTTGGTATGTGTATTTTGTATTTTACTTCTCTGAACATAGCCACAACATTGGGTCAGGTGAACTATATGACAAAGAGCTCCCGCTTTCTTTGGTGAGGGTGCGTATTTGGGATGACACTTGTTGGAGCCCGGCTGAGATATCAAGTCAGGGCCTTTGGCTCGATGCAGGGCGGCTGAGCTTGTCGGAGTGCAAGCAGCAATGTCGACAGCGGGCTGAATGCGCAGCTGTGTCTCACGGGGAAAACATTTGCTTCATCCAAACGACCAATGGCAGTGCAGCTGCAATGCATTTGATACACCCTCGGGTTTCATGCAGAACTTGAAGACAACCACTATTCAGCTATATACACATATACTCCAGTTTCAGGTTTGATGATTGCACTTTTTTTTTTGCCGATAGGCGGCGCAACGCAAAACAGTTGCAAGTTCCTTGCTCTTGTGTTGCATCGTGTGATTCTTGGTACCGATGCTGCACGTGCACAAGGATGTGTCTAGACGGCTGAAGGATGACTGAACTAAACGAACAAGCAGGCGCAAGCATCGCAACCTTCATCCACTAGATCGGCCAGGTACAAGCAAGACACTGGCGTGTAAAGACATCGTGTGCGCATTCAAACTCAGCATAACCAAGCCGCTTTTGATGCCCCAGGGATAGGCCACATCAACAATGAACTCAATCTGAGAAACACCTCGATTGAGCTACAAGCCGATCTAGCTAGAGTTTTCGTGCTCTGAATGCTGAAGGGTGTGGAAGTGGGTCGAAATGCTTTAGGCCCTGCCCGCACTGTCCGACAGCTCAGCCAAGGCACAAAAGGCTCCAGGACCGTGCCTGCTCCGCTTGAAGAATTGCACAGAGGAAACGGCTATTTTGGACCTCAGCGCTCCGGATGCCAAGTACTTGCAGGGCCAGTTCAAGCCATCCGGTGCTCAT